AAGCCTGGGAAGCACATATATATATATATACATATATATATATATACACACGCACATGCACCAGGACTCAGACCAGCAAAAACTGCAGCTAAGCTGTGCCATTTGCCACAGGGCTCTCGGTGCAGAGCATCCTGCTCTGTCTCAGCAACGTAATCAGTGATTTGGGATACGAAGGGGCAGGCTCATGACGTGGAGAGGGTTGAAAAACATTAGCTAGCACTCCTCGTGGGGAGAGACAGGCTTTCCATCTTCCTTAGAACCTACTTTAAAACACAGGGATGCATTGAATAAACCTGCTTTGGAAGATTTTTAAAGAACAGCACCAACTAAAAAAGCAGCTGCCAAAATCAATTTCCAGCATTAAAAATCAGCACTGATGAGAACCATCTTAGATCAAATAATTTATTTAGTAATTCCATGTAAACACTTCAGATTTACTAGCAAATACAATGCTTGCTGTTCTTTTAAATAGATCATTCAAAAAATAAGAATCTATTATTAATGGCAGGTTGACTAGAGATCTCCATACTACTGTACAATAAGGAATTTGTTTTCTAATGGATTTAACATCTCAATTTTTCTTGTTCTGCATTTGCTTTACACAAAGCCCAAAGGACACACGTTTGAACTGCTCCCTGACGATGCCACTGTGGACCAGGGTGTTTTGGGGAAGGTACGCAGGCAAATCCTCCCATCCTGGCATTGGTATAAGCTGATGTGAGTGTGGGATGGCAGAACTTGCGTGAACACTGTTCACAAACACACGCCTTTTCAGTCAGAAAACAGAAAATGAACGGTGGAGAACTTCTCTTTGGGATGTATAAAAGCAACGAACTCCATCGTTGGCATTTACTTATCAACACAGCAGTACACATACACGTATCCACAGTCTTGGAAAAGCATCCTATGAGCTGGAGAAAGCAGTGGTTCTGAGGCTTGGTACACCAGTGCACTAAAACCAAAAGAATGATACCTTCTTACATAGTCAAATGAAAAATAAATATCTTTATTTTCTGCCTACTTTATTTCAGTTTTCAAATAAATTTTAAATAAATCTGTACAAAGTATACTGTTACAGTATATATTTGTAAGTTAACTGAAATGCCTAAGTGTAACAACACTACAATAAAGCAGTACAGATTGGCACATTTCTAATAAAGATTAACTTTTACACTCAAAAAATACCAACTCCCATGAAAACCCTTGATATATTTTCAGTATTTTTATGCAAATTACGTTGCAAACATATTACAGACCAATTTTCCCCTGCCTAAAAAAGAAAATCACTTCTAATGTTTTTTCAGAGAACGTGAATATCTTTATGCTGTTAAAGGGACACCATCAGGCTAAAAGAGAGAGAGAGAGATATTTGGAAAAGCAAAAACTTTGGTCAAAAATTGGCAAGTTTTAGACCTTGTGCACGTTTACCCATCTCACTGAGCTCTGGCTACAGTCGGTGCCAGGGATGGCAGGACCGCGGCAGCACTGCTGGGCACCTCCCTCTTGCCAGGACAGGAGAGAGACTCCTCGTAGCAGCCAGATTTCCACCCCGTGCCCTGGCTGCCAGGATGCAAACTGCTGCAGGAATGCTTCTAGCCAAATACCCAAACCAACAACAAAAAAAGGATGTTTCTCCTTGCGATTAAAAAGGAATTAACACACATGCACTTGGCATGAGTTTTGCCCCACCACCCCCACCCCCCCAAGAATCTAAAATTGATCTGACAGTGTCCCTTTGCTCAAAATAAAGACTTCCGTACTGTATAGATCAGATATTGAAGCAAACTTGTTCACAGGATGAAAGAGCCAGGTACATTTCAAAATTCAAATTTTCAAATCCAACTGCAGTTATTAGAGTCATGAACTCTTAAAACCTCCTAATATTTTGTTAAATAATTCCAGACTGGGAATTGGGGGATAAATATTACAGATTAAGAGTGAGAGTCTTCTCTTAATCTTTCCAATGATCTATTGAATCAATGTTTACATGCTGAAAGTTAATCTTACATTAGAATGTAATGCAATATTGGCTGCAACATAAACCTATAAATAAATCAACTACCATAGTTTAAACTCTGTTAAATATTTCTAAGTTAATAAAATATTGACAGTATTATAAAATTACAGTATTTACAATAAGAAAAATCTAGACTAATATATACCTTTAACAGATCTCTTCTCCAATTTGGGATTGCAATGGAATTACGAATATATGAACAATTTATTATAAAGTTGCATTGCAATTATTGTTTTTCCATTAGAGCTAGAGAGGGTAATCTATCACTGCCTTTGGAAAAAAAAAAAAAAAAGTGACTTCTGATGGTGGGGTGTAGCTTTTGAGTACCAAACTGGTAACAGGAGTCCTCCGAAAGACGTCTGAAGATAATGTAGGACCAGCCTCAATTGCTCAGATTAAGTTGTAATACAGAACTGCCAGCAATCAGAACCACCCAGGCTGCAAAAGGGGAGGAAAGGTAGTTTTCAGCTCAAAGTGCACAGCTGGAAGGGCTCCCCTCATTCTGGACTCCAACTAAGGCTGCAGATGCTTCGATCTGCACTTAAAAACTGCAAAAACCTCAGCTTTTGGGTTCATTAGGAGTAAATTAGCCGCTGGTGCTCCTTAAAGGGACATAGTTAGGTTGCAGCTATGCCAAAAAATGCTCTCAACAACCATGTACAATAAAACCAGAATAGACATTTGAGATCCTCTTTGGTTTGCTTTTTTGGGAGGTTGTGTTTTTTTGGGGTTGGGGCTAGTGGGTTTTGGTTTTGGGGGTTTTGTTGTTGTTGTTGTTGTTTTTGTTATTGTTGTTTTGGTTTTTTTTTCATTTTGTTTGCTTGGGAGAAAAAATTGGCTTGGACCATGTGTCACAAAGCAGTCAACTCATTTTCTATTCCTTGCCAGCTTCTCTGTTTCTTGAGTATTAGCATAATGCTGTTGTGTTTGGGTTGCAAACACTTGTGGAGAAAAAAAAAAAAAAAAAAAAAAAATGACCTAAAGCGATTCCCATCATTAAAAAGCGCCAGCTGCTTTTGGGGTCCAGACACCTAGCAATGTCCTTTTAAGGATCAGACCTTTTTCTTGCCCTTTCTCCCAGCCTTGAAGGAAGAGTTTACAGCCAGTTTAGGAAGGGCAACGCTTAAATTCTCTCCCTCCTCCCCATGTCACACTTGCTTTCTAGCAGTAAATCAGAAAAAATGGGGGGGAAAAAAACTTTTCAAATTCCTTTCCCGCCCTTCCCTCCCCCAGTCCTGCTCACTGTAAAACAGAAATGGCATTTTTTAGTGTATATTTTTGGATAAATTATTTTCTCAGCCCCAAGCCTGGAGATGATTGTGAGAGACCTACCCACAGGCTTCGGAGAGGTGAAGCAACTTATGCATTTGCAGGGGCTTCTACCAGTTCCCGTAGTGGGCAGCCAGGAATAACCTCTGTCCTTAAAAGCAGGCTTTAAAATGGTAAAAGAATAATTTGTAAACTTGGGTCTACGTTACCAACAGAAGGCTCTAGGTCCTGCGGGCTCCAGTTCCCAGAGATGCAGAGCAGGAAAACTAGAAAGAAAACTTGGTACCTTTCAATCACCTGCCAGGTTGTACTAGGGGGGAGCGGGGAACGAGAGAGACAAAATGACAACTGACCTTATTAACAAAGGTATGTTTAGGGCTTCTGGTTTCAGGAATAAACCGATATTTACTGGTAAAAGTCTGCCAAAAAACAAAAACAGAAACACAGGATTACTGGTAAATATTGGTTTATATGGAGAAGTTAAAAAAGAAAAAAAAGAAGTCATTGTGCTCCTGATCTCCACGTGCTCCTGGGCAGGAGCTGAGAACTGCCCTGCAGCATCCCTACACTCAGCGGCATCTTTGGCACCCAGACACCTCAAACCAGAAGCCTTGTGTTGAGAGGAAAGTCGTGTTTCTTTCCTTTACTCCCCCTTAAACTACGCGTTTCTTTCTGGATTTCTCCCCCCGCCCTCCGCAAGGCTGGTCCTATGGGGGTTTGGCTCAGGAGATGGAAAGTCTTCTTCAAAACCACTTGGAAATGAATTTGTACATAATATGGTATCTCATCACCAATGCTGTTGGCGCCTGAGCCTCATCCACGCCCTGAGATACCATAAAATATACAAGACTGAGTGTATATTTTAAATAAAGCATTTTCTTATAAGTGGCATAAACCCATTCATTTTATTTACATGCTTATTTATTTCCAAAAATAGAGTTGGTCCACACTGGACAAGAGAAATCAAGAAGCCATACAGTAGAAGAGTTAAAAGTCCAACATTTAACCAAAGTACAATGAAATTCCAGAAGTCTGTGGCTGACTTGAACCACAGAAACATACATGAGCCACACAGACATTTGTACATAGAGCATTATATTACCAATAATATTTGCAAACATGAGGTCAGGATGGCTACAAACCCAGCAGAACTGAACCAGGGGTCATGGCTGAACAGAAGCGGGTGGCGAACAGCTGTCACTACTGCGGGAAAACACCACTCTCCAGAGATTTTGCTTCACTTTTTTGGTTTTTTTTCTTTAACTGAGAAAGTCCTAATTTTTCTGCCCTGGGGATCAAAATTGAGGACACAGTGAAAGCCAACCACATATATCTCCCTAAATGCACACCGAGTGGCTGGGTGGTGTGTGGGCAGCATCCCCGTGGCGATGCTGGGGGTCTTGTACCTGTGAAGATGCAAGGAACGCCAAACGGCGAGGATGCCAAACGGCACTGACAGCCCCCAGGGCTGGCTGTGCCAGGGATGACCTCTGCTTGGAGGACAAAAGCCCAGCCTAAAAAACATTGGGTTTGATGCTGAAGCAGGCCAAATATGCAGGGCAGGACCCCCATCCCATCCACCCAACAGACTGACCTTGCCTGCTGCTACCTGGCCTAAAGATCACCTGGAAAAGAAAAAATAGGTATTTATACCCCGGCGGTGTGCTGTGGGACATATGAAAAGGGTCCGGATGGGCTCTGTCTTGAAAACAAAGATTTCCCTCCCTTGCCGTGGGCAATTTTTGGCATTAGTAATTCCAGCCTCATCTACCTTTTCTGGAAGACCACAAATAATCCCACCTGAACAGACCTACAAATATTAGAGGATGTCACACCGGACAGATGAGGGAAGAGATTTTTACTCAAACAATTTAAATTTTTTACATTTAAAATAAAAGCTCAGAGGCCTGATTGACAGCAGAATAAAAAAAAAAAAAAAAAAAAAAAAGATGCATTATCTCTGCATTATGGCCTGGTTTATCCACGTATTTCCATGGACCTCACCGTGAGAATATCTCATTGTCTGTAAAGGATGGAAAAATAGATTAAAATCTGTACGTTCTCCTGCAGAGAATCACAGAAAGTAAAAGGAGGAAGACAGCTGTACACTCCTGGTACTTCTACAAACAGCCCCTATACAGGGTAGAACCTCATTAAAAGGGTATAAATTAATTTTCCTTTTTCAAGTCATCTTTGACACAATATTAAGCCTAGTCCAATGTGAATGCTAGTATAGAGCTAATTTACAGAATACCAACAATAACTATCTGTACCTAACAGGATTTAAAGGCAAGTATACTCAGTACATTTAGAAAAGGATACTACTAGCAAGATGCCAGACCTTTGACAGCAGTTAAACAGAAGCAGCTGTGCAGTTTTCTATGTGGATGGACAGCCTTTTAGCACAAGTCACTATTATCATCTGAGCCTGTAACAGTCAACTCTATCTTCTGATTTGTCTTGTAGAACATTTCTAATCTCAGATGTGAAATACATTTTTAAAAAGAGATGGGCCTGATCCCGTGCAGTTGGGTATGTACAACACTCCCCAATGAAACTCAAAGCTCAAATTCCTAAAGAGAGAGCACAAGAGATTTTTTTTTCTTATATCAAGTAACTATCATGCAAACATACCACAACATTTTTATATTAAGTACTTCAAAGTCAGCTGGTATAATTTAACTAGAAGTGAGCAATCTAATGAAATTAGTATTTCTAGGGGGAGGGGACAAAGGTTGTGCCAGTGACAACTACCAGATTACCAAGGGAAAACAGCACAGGGACACCACGGGGGTCTAACGAACCGTGTTACAGGAGAGTTCACGCACAGCAGCCTCTCAGACCTTAGCACCGAAATCTGTAATATGCAGTTATTGTCTATGGTGGCCTATACACCTTCACATCATTTGCTTTTGCTACCCAGAATCAGATATTCTTCCTGTATGAGCAAATCACTTAAAGCCTAGCAATATTGTTGGAGCATTAAAAATGACTTTGTTTTCCCCTGCCTGTTGCCTCGCATTTCCCAGGGTCCACACCACCGCCTGCTCACCGTACCAGACCTTATCATGCTCTGCTGAATCTTCCAGTCACGGCCAGCCTGAAGTCACTTCTCTAGTATAAACCAACCACTCTGCTCTTTCAATTGCCAGTCCTTACACTTAAACACCAACTCTACCTGAAAGCCTTGAGGTGCCTGCAGTTAACCTACTCCTATTTATGACTTGTCAAAGCACTTGCTCTTTGGTACCATGATCTACTGACGACAGGGAAGGTGGGAGAAGCATGGGGATTTGCCATGACTTCTAGACTTTTAAGAAGCCTAAAATTAAGCTAGAGCAGCCCTAGCTCACACCAGTTTGCTATGGGTCCTCCTAGGTCTCTTGGGAAGAGACGTAACACAGGTCTGCACAGGCACACACACATGGACAACACTCCCTCAAAAACAGAGCTAGATGAGACCTGGAAAATGCTGACCAGACCTCTCTCCCCATTCCCTCCCTTTCTGCCCGTTGTCAAAACCAAAATCTTTTAGGTTTTTCTTGGTAAAAACAAAAGAAAACAGAACATATCCACAAGATTAGCTGCTGAGGCATGCTCTGGGATCTGGCAGATCTGCAAGTCAAGGTCAGAGTAGGAATTTGAACTGGAGGTGTCACATCATAGGAGAAATCTAGATGCCATGATAACCAGTATTCTGGGCTTATTTCTCCTCTTAGGTCAAGCAACCAGGAAAGTTCAGTGAAAATCAACTCTTCTTCACCTGGCAACTTTGGTTTTAACAAATTAGTGTTTTCCAGAGGAAACTAATTTGCTCAAAGACTGAAGAGCTACTCAAGAAGATGGATCACCATCTCCAACCAGACTTCTGTCCACCTTGTGCTGCTCAAGTGATCAACATTGGCTGCAATCAAAGAAGGACTATATGATATTTCTCTTCTCGTTACAAGCATGATTTTTTATTACCTTCTTGGGAAGACTTGATAAAAACCTTTTAAAGCATCCAAATAAAGATCAGTTGATTTTCCACCTCCTACTTTTGTCAACATGTTCAAAGATTCTGATAGATTACCCAGAAAACAAGATTGATCACAGATTCACAAAATGGTTTGGGTTGGAAGGGACCTTCAAAGGCCACCTAGTCCAACCCCCTTTTTTTGCAGACCGTTGCTTCCAACCTATCACATACTGAAGACTTAGAGCACTTTAGTTTCTCCTTCTCAAACTGGAGTTCAGGGTTGCTGATCTGCAATTCCCAGTGCACAGTTTAATACTTTAATTAAAAAAATAATAATCTGACATTAAGATGTTATCTAGTAATGGAGAATACTAAGCTATTTTTTAACAGCCCTTTTTTTGCTAGTAACTGTAGTCTCAAGCTCTTTTGAAACTCCCAGGTACACCTGTTGCTCTTCCACTTGACTTTACTACTTTGTTGCAGCATCTCTGCCTTAAACACTTGAGTTTCAGAGGGAGGCTCCTTATCTTTACCATCCAAAAGGACTAGGTGATGGATAGGTGGTCTCTCAAACGTGCCCTATGTTCCACAATGACATGGATAAGTCACTTAAGTAGTATGAAGTAGTGCAGAAAATTAACTGTGCCTTCAGTTTTGCATGCTCAGATTTTCTCCCCAGCCTTCTCTCTGATATACTCTAAGATAGCATTTGCTCCTTAAGGCCAACAGATCTTCAAAGTCCCTCCTAAACGGCTTTATTTCCAGATCACAGGTTACCTTACAGTATGGTTCTTTCAGTCTACTTTGCAAGACTTGGACTACTCTCTTTTGAGGAAGTCCTGCCAGAAGTCCCTTCCTTTATAACTTTATAAATTTTACTTCATAACTTTATAAATATTTTACTCTGCCTAACTTGGATATCTGTAACCTTTCCAGGTATCTATGGGGTTGCCTTGATGAGTTTAAGAACTTTATTTTTCCGATCTTGTCCTCTGAAATATTTTATAACACAAGACTCATTTTTAGTCCAGCGCCTTCCACCCCTGAGGATGCTGAACCTGTAATTGTACTGTGGTCACTGCTATTTAATGACTCGATGGTAATTATATCTTGAACCAGTTCTTAACGTTTTAGTCCTAAATCAAGGCTAACTCTATACCAGGCTGTTACAAGAAATGATCCTTTAAGTAAATCAAGATGTTGGTTCACCAAAATGGTAGCCAGCTTCTTCCCAAACAATCTGGCCAGATAGCACAGACATAACTGAATTTACTTTTTCTTACAGGTTTATGAAGATGCATGAGCCTGGTTTTCTCCGAAGCCCCATGAAGCCTGTAACCACCTTCTTCTCTGGAATAGAAAATTTCCTAATACCTCTGTGTCATTAAAATATGGGATTTATATCCAACATAAATTTGTCTGTCTGGTCATCACTACTCCAATTTCCTCTCAGATTTTACAGCAGCTTTTTAGATCTAGTGTGCCTTTGCACCTTTATGACCTAGCATGCCTATTTATATGGCAGGTAATGCAGTATCATACTGATTTTCATCACCCCCCACCATGTTTCAATCAGAGCAGCTATGCCAAGGTCTTTTTACACCACCGAGTAATCTACAACAACTATTTTTGTTTCATGTTTCCACACTGGTATACAGACATTTTTCTTGTTTGGACCACATCCCCATTTCTTATCCCAATCTGCAGCCGAACAGCTGGTTGCTCCTCCCACGTACACAACTCAGTTCTCAACCTCCTCGTACCCCATGCCAAGAACTCACTCTTTGTCCTCCAGGAGAAATGGGCAGAGGTTTTTTTTCCCAGCACTCTTGTTCAGCACCTTTGCCCAAGCCCTGACAGCCTCAGCCTTCCACCAGCACTGCGTTCAGTCCATCCTCCCAAAACCCTGTCCACTTCCTGCGTCACCAGTCTAGGGATGCTTCGGCTGAAGCGCAAACCAGCCCACGCTGCAAAGTCATGGCTCTCAACTTCACCTACTTTCTATCATCTTCCCAGGCATGCATTAAGTCTTTAGGAAGAGGTGTCGCCATGTCCTAAATTTTGTCTTCCTCCCAGGCACCCAATTTTCCCAAGTATCTCAGCTTCAAGGGTGACAGCCCCAGGCTTGCCCCAAGCACTCTGGTACCTTCTAGGATCCACATGTCCACTCAACAGGCAATCAGATGGATCTCCTCATCATTGGGAGCAGAGACTCTATTTCCCATGATCAAATCCTCTGCCATCCAAACCTCCCAGAGCTACTTCCCCAGTTTCTAGAGGAATCTCCAGAACAGAGAACAACTCTGTTATCTTAAATTATAAATCATCCCTTTAATCCTGTCCAGTTGCAAGTCAAGTTTCCATGAACAAAAGGCAAGGCAGCCAGTGCCGAGGTGAGGACAGACCATGATCACCTGCAGATGATTTAACACCATCTCTTCACCAGCTCAGCAACACTGGCCTCAAAATGCTTTTGGAGCTTGGAGCGCCTCCACCTGTTGCACTGTACAGCATTTTATCAGGAAAAAAAACCCTCTTAAAGCATGTCCACTCTACACTCGTGTGTGGAGTTCCTAGCACAATGTTCTTCGACTTCCATAATTAAGCCAGGATTTTTACTTTTTGACCATATAAGTCCATCTTTAAACTAAAAATAGACTGACTGTTAATGGAGTCTTTTTTTTTAATTACTTTAAAGCACCAATTAGAGACTTTCTTTGGACAAGATAAGTTACATATGGCCTTGCAGAAGCCTGCAAGGACTCATTTACCAGGAATTTTATTGACAGTTGAAGCTCAGAAGCCAACTTTTTTTTTAAAAGATCGAATAAGCCTCTGAATACACCACTGTCAGAAGATCTATCCACAAATCAAACTGTCTGCATGCATGAAAGCAGAGATGACAATTACATGAATTTGCAGCGCGTAGTTCAGAATTATTAATGCTAGAAAATAATTCAAAGCCTCTAGTCCCTATTTTGCTCAGAAACCTGCCTCATTGCCCTTCAGCAGCCCCTAGCAATGGTCATCCTAATGTTATTATTTAAATAAAATAATCTTTTTAATAAAAATAAATTTTGACCCCATTTATAACTCTGTACCTGACAAGACACTGGCTTCTTTTCTTCACCTCTGGTGCTGCTCACACAACATTTTTCTTAAGTTGACCTGCCCACACAGTTCCTGATAAGCCAATGCTACACTGCCAGCTCTCCTCAGCATCACTTGAGTGGGAGGTTTAAATACCAGATTTCACAAAATCCTTTATCCACGCTTCCTAGCCCCGGCATTTCTTGAAGTATTGACAGATCAGCAAGCCTTCACAGTTTGCCTAGAAATGAGACAGCTGTGGACCTGCTTCTGCTGGACTGATGCAGAATAGCTGGCCCCTGAGGACCCTGCACCCACCTCCTGACCCCCAGGTGAGTTTTGAGAAGTCTGGACCGGCTGATGCTGGCACACTGATGCACGCCCCCAAGGAGGTGCTGGTTCGAGCTCCTCTGCCCATACTAAATGCCTAAGCAAAAGGCAAGCCCAGGAAAAGCAAGTTCCAAACCTCAGGAGACTACAGACAATAAAGCCATCAGCTTGCATGGCATTCACAAACTGTTGTGCAATCAGGACAGAGCATGGAGAAAGAAAACTTATTCCCTAGTGAGACACTACAGCAAACCCAACCTGGGGGAGAGAAAGACACTCAAACCAATGTGGCTAAAACTCCAAACGACAGTGCGGCTCCGAGATGTCCTACGCAGAGGGGTCCTGCCCAGGATGCACAAACTTTGTCCTGCGCTCTGGCACGTGACAGCATGTCTTTCTACCCAGAATTAGAAGAAAACCCACCCCAGCCTCTGACTGGGGCTAATATACCAGCTGGAGGGCACAGCAGATACGACGAGGACTTGGTGATCTGAGCTTGAGTCACATATCAAGACATTCATCAGCAATAGAAAAAAACACCACTGCTCATTTTCTCCACTCTCAACTCTCACCAGTATAAATTACCCAGGCATATATCTTATACAGATTTAGCCTCCTTCAGCCATGTGAAGCCTGCAGCTTCATCTCAGCATCAGCACAAATGATAACACAGAGGAGCTGAAAACACCCCAGTGGGGGTCAGCCCTGCAGCAGAGACCTCACAGCTCGCATGTCCTTGCACGCCAGCCCCGAAGCGCCCTGTGCTGTTTCCCCCTAGAGCAACTGTGCATCGGTCCACTGGGATGATGAGATGTCTCTGAGATGCCTCCAAGATCCCAGCCTCAGTGGCCAGACCTTCCCACAAGCATGACAGGGCCACCTCACAGTCAAAACCACTGATGGGCATGAGTGAGACATGCTCTCTTGCATGAAGACGGTCATCCACAGGGGTTGCCATGCGGTCTCTGCACCGTGCCCAGTACTAAATCCAAACTCACTGGGGCCAGCGTGGTCATGGGGATTTAGATGCCATTTGCAAGCTGACTTTATGAGCAGCTCTCCATAGAAATCAACATACTGACTGGGATGACATTTCAACGTGTAGAGGTTTTTCCCTGAAAACCTGAGTAAATCTCTCCAAGGCATGGACTTTGGCTTCCTGGCAGCACGGAGGATCATCTCCCACAAGAGCCACCTCCCTCCAAGGTCTCACTAGTCAAGAGGGACTCATCGTTCCACGCTGCAGACATAACTCCACACCTCTCACCTCTCCGATCTACGATAGAAAGAATGAAGCTTTTCTTTGCTTCCTGCATATTTCAAGATAGTGTTTCAAGAAAAAAAGCCTTCTGCACCACAGCCAAAAAGGCTCAGCACAAACTCCCACAGCCAGCATTGCAGCGAGTCCCCTTTTCACTTCAGTCTCCAACATGGCCTAAGCTTAAAAGACTAAGGAGTGTATTTTTGCAAAGATAACAACAGGATGGGCAGCAAACCAAACGATGATCAGCAAAGCCAAGGAATTATCCAAGTTAAGACCGAGTTACTTGCTGGGGAGATCCAGAAGATGCCCATTCAAAGCAAGTGCTCTCCCAGATGATGGCTGATCCAGAAAGGAGCAGAAGTATACCACATGTCACGAGCCTAAGCCTCAAGACAACAAGGTGCATAAATGGCCAGCCATCTACACAGGCGGTCTCCTGTTTTATCTGGGGCTGCATCTACACGAGCAATCAGCACAGCCAGAGCCAAGTTTGACAGCAAACGAGTCACTGCTCAGGACCCAACAGTCACATTATCTGTGTTCCAGGGATTTTACTCTCCCATGAGCTCTAGCTTGGCCTGACCAACCTATTTCCACTGGTTGATAGAGCATGTCTTTTGGCTTAGTTAAACCCAAAACAAATCAGGTCATGTGCTCTGTTCTATGATAAAACCAAGGTACATTACACAGGGACAGCAGAGCACTTCGCTGCAGAAGTGCACGTCTGACCTAAGCTGCAAAGCTACCGCAGACACCCCAGGGACATCTGCTGCAAGGTCCTGGTCACCCAAAGAGGCAATACCCACATGCAGGCAAAACCTACAGCCAGCCTGAGCAGGGCTCCATCTTGGCCGGACGTGGTGCCTTCCAGAGCAAAAAGACCAGATACCCTCTTCAGGCAAAAAAGCGCTAGCAGTATTGATCTGCAGAGGGACAGTGAAGCATTGTTCAGGGATATCCAGCCATTTGCTCTGACTTGTTTTAATCAGTCAACACTCAAAAGACAGATAGCAGGGCCAGAAGTCCTCTATCTTTATCTTTTCTCACTTAATCTCCAGCTGACATTTTTCCGTGAAAACATGCCTCATTCCTCACCATGTGAATTCAACTCTCCCTCTTCTATATTTTGCCTGAAACAGGCTACACAACTGTTTACTAACTTTATAGGCGCAGGCAAGACATGCTCTGACTCTTCAAAAAACCACAACTGCTTATCTGGCTTCAGCTACACACGGATACCGAATTGCAGACTGGGCCAGCAGAGCTACCCCAACCGGGGAGCTGAGCCCCACACACCCACCGATCCGCGCTCCCCTGGGATCAGCTGCCTGGCACCCCTCGGCCACCCGTGGTGAAGGGTCTGCCAGAGCTGTTGTCACCTGGCTCTTAGGTGCTTCTCTACAAGTGGCATCACCCACCCTCCACCCTGAACACCAGTTCAGATGCTGCAGCACTTGAGCCAAGGTGCACCTCAGCTGCCCACCTCTGCCAGCTCAGTCCTCCTGCCTTGCTCCTAAAGCCTTTTCCCACCCTCCAGACAGACAATGCCTCCTCTGCTGCGACTGCTAGGAGCTTCTCCTTTCACCCAGCTTGGTACCTGCCTGAGTCCACCAGCTCAGGAAATGTCTTTGTTCGCAAAAACAACACCACACCTGCCTGCGGGAAGGCACGTCCAAAAGCAAACCCGTTCATCTTTTCCCTTCCAATGTACTTCTCCAGCAGCAACTTTTATGCCATCCAAATTGCAATAAAATATCCATTGGAGAAGTAACTCTGTGAATCCCTAAACATGATGGCATTTCGCTCTCTCTGCTGTCTACAGCTGTTCAGACCTGCATTAACAACAAGCCCACTTCAACTTCACAAGAGGTGGGATGCACTGCAGATCCCTATGTAGTCTGACCTTCCCCCAGACTGTAGTGCTGCTAAAACACAGTCCTACTGGGAACTGAAATGCTGTGAATAGATAAAAAGTGAAAAAGAAGGATAGGCAGTCTAAGAGAAACTCCCAGAGTGGACCCAAGGTCATCTGGCATGAACAGTACAGGAGCAGGCAGGCAGCACTGCTGATGTGAGCAGAGTGGGCAGCCCAACTCCAAAGAGGAACGTCAGCTGTCACACGAGAGGAGCATCCTTCCTGCGCCATCAGGCTATCACCCTCAGCAATTTCAATGCAAGAGATTTCACTTAAGAGAGAAAAAAAATGCCATGAACTTCAGGTCCAAAGATTACACTCTGGTTAAAACAGGCTTTTAGAAAAGGTTATAATTTTGAAAGTCCAGTTATATTAACCTTAACTAGCTTTAAACTATATATATGTATCTCCTTGCCACGTTCACAACCCACACACATTTTGCAGTGCCAGTGAGCTAAATCATGTGCAAGTGAGCAGAGTAAAAGGAACCACAGGCTTGAAAAAAAGCTCTGGGCTGAAATTATCTTTCATTGTTGCAAGTGGCACAGGAGATGGCAACAGCAGAAGGAATCAAGAATAAAAATGGAACTCTCTTGTTTACCTTGTCGGTTTTGTCAAAACATTTTGACAACACTTTGCATGCAGCCTGCTTCTCTGTTCTGCTACCAAAAATTCAGATCCTTTCACCTATCTTCACGTGTTATAGAAGAAAGCCAAAAAGAGTAAAACTTTCAGGGAGAGAAGTGCATGTGCAAAAAATACCAAGACAAGCACAAGAACTTAAAACTACCCTGGACCCCTCTTCCAGATAGTCCAAACACCAACATGAACAGTAACCCTTCAATTACACAAGCTGAGTTAACAAGGAGTAGGCAGTCAGCAGAGGAGGATAGTAAGAAAATAAAAGGAAAATTTAGGTAAGCCTGATAAAGCAAAGGAAAAAAAAAAAAAAGGTGCAAATCAGGATTTTAAATTTGCAATTAAATAAAAAATTCTTGACAGTGTTGTTTTAACAGAGAAACTTTCCAGTGCTTTAGGCAGAGCCCTAGCTTTCAAAAAGCAAACCAAGGCAGTAAGAAGCAGGTTTTTGAATGAGCAAATTGCACAGCTGTGGAAGAATTTGTTTTTGCTGCCTTCTTTCCAACTCACCTGAGACTCGTTTTCTACCTGTTGGACTAGCAAAGCCCAGGAAACTGGTTGGTTCTAGTTACACTTTGAGTTTTTGTGTTTCATGAGAGCCCCCTGAAATGTAAACCTGTTTTAGCATTCTTGTACATTAATGTCAGGATTCTCCACTTCTAGCTCCCAAAACTTCTGCCACAGACAAGTCAATCAGATTTGGTATATGCCCTAGAACAGGAAATAGGAGGTCTGGTTTTAAAGCAAACAAGCAAATAAAAAATAATTACATCAGTGCTCTGCAAGGTGTTGGATCCAAACTCAGTGGATCAGCTGAAGTCTTCAATCCAAAACTCTCAGTAATTGTACTTTAAAAAAAGTTTAACCTGTTGAACTTAGAGAAAAGAAGTGGCAGACATTTGAGGGAGACAGTGTGCAGGTGCAAAAACGTGAAGTGCCATAGTTCACCACCTTAGAAGAAATCTGAGTTTTGCTTTGTTTGGTTTTGTTTTTCTTAAGTGCCAGGGAAACACACTTCCCAAAGGGCGGCTTTAGAGTTTATGGGCACCAAGGTGGAAGCATGAAGTGAACACATGCCAAAAACATCAGGTTTTCATAAACCCGTCTTGAAAAAGTGCACCGTGTTTCTCAGTAAAAATGCTTATCTACCAAATCTCCACTGACCACGGGCCACTTGCGTATGGAAAGCTGCATCAATTTGCAGCACCAATGCTGTCATTTTTGCCTTCTCCTTCCACCCACCTCCCCATTTTTTTTCCTTGGGAGACATACAGCGCCACTGCATTAGAACGTACAAGAAATGAAAACAGTGAGTACAACTGATATAGATCCATTGACTTTTTATTACAAATGTACTTGATCACTTGGCTTCAAAAACTTTAAATCAACCCCTATTTTCTGTACGCCAGTACAAAGTAAAATCTATTTTACAAATTAAATACCTAAAAATTTGACAAAAATATTAAAGTTTGATGGAAAAAACAGTTATAAAAATCTTAAATCCCCTTTTAAAAGATAACATCCCCTCCCAACCCCCACAGTCCTGTTATACAATATTAATAGTCATTTTTTTAGAATAGGTAGGTATGTTATATCTTGCTGTTAGCATACAAGTCACTCTAATAGCTTTATCTGTATATACTCCAGTTAGTGCATGAATGCCATCTGATTGAATATAATCAACTATCTTTAACTGATCCCTAATTTACATTTCATAGCTTGCATAGTTTGAAGGGACAAAGATTATACTACAGCTAATCATAAAAAAAGGTGGTTACAGTGCTATTTTTAAAGGCAACAAAGTAATTGCTCCCCCCCAAAAAAAGAAATTATCGGTCAGCTCTGAGCAGGGGTTAAAATCACTGGCAGCATTCTGCCTTGCTCGATAGGATCATCCCTGCCTGGCCCCCGCTGCCCGCACCGGGCAGCCCCTCTGCGCTTTACAACAGACAAGTTACAGGTTGCAAACCGCTCCTCAGCGAGTGCTACACCCAGCACATTTCAACCCCTGCAAGGGATACGCAAGAAAGCGACACTGTCAAGTATTTTTTTTTCTCCTTTTTTAAAATTGAATTTTCCCAAAAAAAGCTCTCTGCCGCATAGGGGCACACCTGGTTGGAAGCTCAGTGCCCTGTCCGAACCTGCAGCTGAGCTGCTGAGTGCTGGCACAGCTGCCCGGCCGAGCCCTGACCCTTGCCACGGGCCTGGAGCGAAAGCCAGGATGCGTCCGGCCAGTCGCCTCCTGCTCCCGGGCAGCTGGAGGGTTGCTTTTGCAGCAGCATCGCAAGCGGGACCACAAAGAAGAGGCAGGAATCAACAGTGGCTTGTTCTGCTTCTTTTTTTTTTCTTTTTTTATTTAACTTCTCAGAGACAGACTTTTAATTTGGAGGACTTTTCCCCATTAGCATAAAACCACTTAAAGGGTGGCTGTATTTCAATGGTAAATTACTTGACAGTGTCCCTTTGACTTAAAAATAAAATAATGTCAGTATTGCAATGAATTTCAAGTTTTCTTGCATGTAGTCATTATAAAGTAGTTTTTATCATGCTCTTGGACCTATTCTACAAGACATTTAAAAGCATATCATCAAGGAAAATATAAGGCATACTTGTCAGGAATTAGGTTATCTTGGCACATTTGAGCATACTGTCTCTTTTTAAAAACAACACATATGGTCAAATATACCTTTCTTTTTCTAACATTAAACAGGGTTTTCTGTACTTTGTTTTAAATACTGAGATATTAGAGCCTTGGTAAAGTACCGAGCACCTCCAGGGGGGGAAAAAAAAAAAAAAAGGAAAAAAAAATCAAAACAGTAACAGAACCAGAAGTGAAATCCCACCAACCTTTACAGTTATTTTAGTCTTTCATGATCATCATTCATAAAGTCCTAGAACATACATAACATCTGTTAAAAGCAGGAAAAAAAAAAAAAAACACAAAAAAAACCCCCAAAAAACCAACAGCAAAACCGAACGAAACACGCAGAAGAAAGCCAAAACGAGACAAAAACTGACCACAAGTTCTCAGACACTGTTCACAAAACTGCCAGTGGGCTGTTTCAGGCTGTACTGGTTTGACTGGAGTCGCGCGGCCCGTGCGCTGTCTCTTATACAC